TCAAGAAATTTTCATTCATGTCCATTCTCCTTGTACTCTTGCTTTGTAATGCCTTCAGCATTTGCTGCATGTGAAACTTTAACAAGGTGTTTTCTGATCCTGTGTTAAATTATTTGTTTCTTTTGCAGTTCTTATGTTTTCTGGTTAATTACACCCTTAGGTGGTCTCTATTTTAAATAATCTTCATTTCCATTTTTCTTTACTTTTCATTGTGATGTACCTGTGAAAAATGTAAATACGTTGTCAAACAAGAGAAGTAACTTTTTCCATCTTGAATGATTAACCTGAGTGTAATACTCATGCCATGAATCTCTCTTTAAAAGTTACTCTGTATCATCTAATTTTGCATCAAGTGTTGAAAATTAATTCTATAGACTAACTGTTCTTAATACATGGAGTGAGCAATAATGTTTACACATGTTGGTACTCATCTGCTTTATAGAAAATAAAAGCCTGAAATAGATTTAAGTGGACAAATGAGTAGAATTAGGTCATGTGAGAGACAATGAATTGGGTTGTGGGGGGCAGGGCTCTTCTTAATTGGAAACCTTTGAGTGTTGTTGGCGTGAGCTAAACTGGTGAGACTGGCAGGAAGCCTGTGGTTTTTCCCAGATCTGTGTCTGTGCTGGGAAGCTAGAATAAATTCTAGCTGGTGGAAGAAGAATTGCTGGAAAATGGACTAAGGGTACCCTCAGGAATTATTAAGTGGGGAGGTTTAAGGAATGGTGAAACTGGGTAATCATAGTTAAATCCATTTCACCTATAACCTGCCTTCTGCTGCTGCTAAGTCGCTTCAGTTGTGGCCGACTCTGTGCGACCCCATAGATGGCAGCCCACCAGGCTCCCCCGTCCCTGGGATCCTCCAGGCAAGAACACTGGAGTGGGTTGCCATTTCCTTCTCCAATGCATGAAAGTGAAAAGTGAAAGTGAAGACACTCAGTCGTGTCCGACTCTTAGTGACCCCATGGACTGCAGCCCACTAGGCTCCTCCGTCCATGGGATTTTCCAGGCCAGAGTGCTGGAGTAGGGTGCCTTTGCCTTCTCCATGCCTTTGCTAATCAAGGTCATTTTACTTATTGTTCAAAAGACGCGCAGGTCCTCTGAGCTGTGTGTAGCCCAAACAGGAAGATGTTTGTCCAAGTGGTTTTCTAGGAATTGGTCTCAGGTGTGTCTAGCTCAAGCTGAGCTGGTTTAGACTGGATAGGACCATCCACCTAGGCATGCCGAGTCTGCTGGGTGACCTTTTGATGTGGGAGGGCTAAAACCTCCATCCTCAGACAGTACTAAGCGCCTCTGCTTTTCTACATGCAGAGGCCCGTAGCTTACTTACACCTGTGCAGATTTACCACATCCTTTTTCAATCACACCCTCCACACCTCAGACCACCCTGCTCCCTTAGTCTCTATGTCCTTAACACCCAGAGCCCCTTGCCTTCAGCAAGCGGGTTTGACTTGGTTCTCTCTCTGCTCTGACTGCCTTGTGAGTAAATTCTTTGTTTCCTGCCATCTCAGAGATTTTGCTTGCTGCCCATCAGGCAAAACAAACCTGGTTCTGTAAGCCCGACTAGAGGAAAGAGCAGGCGTGAGGCAAGGAGGCCGCAACAGGGTGGAGTGCAGGCTCCTACTGGATGTCCTGAAGCTGTGGGGCTCTGTGCAGCCCCCAGGTGCCCCAGGGGGGGAGAGGTGTGTGGAAGACGTTGCTACTTTATCGTTTTACCTGGCTGTGAACATTTCACCATTTAAACGTTTCTTTTGTTACTCTTTCATGTGTAGAGTCACTATGTAAAATCTTCAGAAGCAACAAGTTTCACATTTTGTTTCACACTATAGTTTCTTTCTTGTCTGGTTGCTTTCCCCATTAAATAGCACAGTTTCCTCCTAGGCACATTTTTGGGAAGCACCTTTATAGTGTGTTGAGTGCCAAGAGATTACTATGTCAGTCAGTTCAGTCACTCAGTCGTATCCACTCTTTGTGACCCCATGGACTGCAGCACGCCAGGCTTCCCTGTCCATCACCAACTCCCAGAGCTTGCTCAAACTCATGTCCATAGAGCTGCTGATGCCATCCGACCATCTCATCCTCTGTCGTCCCCTTCTCTCCCTGCCTTCAATTTTTCCCAGCATCAGAGGCTTTTCCAATGAGTTGGTTCTTTGCATCAGGTGGCCAAAGTATTGGAGTTTCAGCTTCAGCATCAGTCCTTCCAATGAATATTCAGGGCTGATTTCCTTTAGGATGGACTGGTTGGATCTCCTTGCAGTCCAAGGGACTCTCAAGAGTCTTCTCCAATACCACAGTTCAAAAGCATCAGTTCTTTGGTACTCGGCTTTCTTTATAGTCCAACTCTCACATCTATGCATGACTACTGCGGACCTTTGCTGGTAAAGAAATGTCTCTGCTAGAGTTAGGGTCATTTTCCCCCGCCCCCCCAACCCCTGCGGAGAGCTATAGGGCATTTCTCCCATAATTTTTGTAGGTCTTGTGAGATAAACAAGACCAACAACAACAACAAAAAAGAAATGTCTCTGCTTTTTAATATGTTGTCTAGGTTGGTCATAGTTTTTCTTCCAACGAGAAAGCATCTTTTAATTTCATGGCTGCAGTCACCATCTGCAGTGATTTTGGAGTCCCCCCGCAAAAGTCTGTCACTGTTTCCATTGTTTCCCCATCTATTTGCATGAAGTGATGGGACCGGATGCCATGATCTTAGTTTCCTGAATGTTGAGTTTTAAGCCAACTTTTTCACTCTCTTCTTTCACTTTCATCAAGAGGCTCTTTAGTTCTTTGCTTTCTGCCGTAAGGGTGGTATCATATGTGTATCTGAGGTTACTGATATTTCTCCCGGCAATCTTGATTCCAGCTTGTGCTTCATTCAGCCTGGCATTTTGCATGATGTACTCTGCATATAAGTTAAATAAGCAGGGTGACAATATACTATAGATATGCTAATATAAATTAATTAAGAAAAGTGATTCAAATCTTGTTTCTGCCATGGACAGAGGAGCCTGTTGGGCTATACAGTGCATTCATGGGGTTGCAAAGAGTCGGACACAACTGAGCGACTGAACACATTTAGAGTCTGGGGTGATACTAGGTAATTTGCATGTAACTAAAAGTAAAAAGCTTCATATGTGGAAATTTTGACTAAAATTGAGACCATTAAAGCTAACCTAGTAGCAGTTTATTTGTAAGCATATGAAAAATTTGTGTGATACCTTTGGGTCCTAAGTAAATTTTATTTCCACTAACATGTATACAGGCTACACAGGCAAATGGAGATACAGGTCCAGGAAAAAAAACTATTTTTTTGCCTTAGTTATGTACATAATTAGGAGAGTCTGAGTCAAGTCCATAGTTTCTCATAACTGAGTAGCCCAATACCTAGAGAACGACTGATTTTTACATTTAGTGCATCACTTCTGAGTAGTAGTCAGATAGATGAATGTCAGCTGAGCTAATGTTTTCTTATTAACCCCAAAGCTGTAAACTATTGAGTAATCAGTTCTAGCTCTTGGCTATGTAGGGCTCAATATCTGCTCCCTTCACCGTTTCAAAGGAAATGGGAAGGTAGTGATATTGCCTTTATCAACAGTTCCTTAGGCTTGATTCATAAAATATCTTGTTAAATATGAGACAAATCATTGAAATATGAGACAAAATCCATTGGAAAGGTAAATAGGAAATTTTGATATTAACATGTATTCTTCAGGGGAGGTTTCCATGTTGTCAAGAAATGAACAGAGCATACCAGGAAAATCTTATTTTCTATTATTAACTTTGTATTTATTTTTCAGAATAGGAATTCATCTTTTATGATCCAGTTATGTTCCTAAATGAAGTTATTTGATGACTACAGTCCAAAGATAGCTTCTATCAACTCCTAGGTATTTATTGTCTCTACATATTCATGCTCCCTTAGAATTATACCTTTTCTCCTAAGTTTTTTTGTGGTAAAATATACATAACATGAAACCACCATCTTAATCATGTTGAGCATACAGTTCAGTGGTATTAAGTATGTTCATATTCTTGAGCAGCCATCGCTAGTACTTTTCCTTTTGCAAAACAAACTCAATACACATTAAACAGTAACTCTTTACTCCTAGTTATACTTTTTGGTATGAATGCTCTCCAGTTTTATCACTCAAACTACACTGTAAGCCCCTATAGGGAGCAGTTATGTATTAGTTACATAACATACACATTTGTTACTTACTGTCAGTCCCTGTTCCAAGTGCTTTGCAAATATTAACTTGCATAATTATTCATCTTTGTATGTTGCAGAGGGTCTAGCATGTGCTTTGCATGTGGGACACATAAAATATTTGTGGAATGAATTTCGGTACCATTTAAGCATTTCCAAGTGACTGTGGCTGTTCTAAGTTTAAAGAAATTATTTTAGCCATACTTAGGCCAGAAAAATTGATGCTTTTGAACCGAGGTGCTGGAGAAGACTCTTAAGAGTCCCTTGGACTGCAAGGCGATCAAACCAGTCCATCCTAAAGGAGATCAATCCTGAATATTCATTGGAAGGACTGATGCTGAAGCTGAAACTCCAATACTTTGGCCACCTGATGCAAAGAACCGACTCATTGGAAAAGCCTCTGATGCTGGGAAAAATTGAAGGCGGGAGAAGGGGACGACAGAGGATGAGATGGTTGAATGGCATCACCAAATCGATGGACATGAGTTTGAACAAGTTCCGGGAGTTGGTGATGGACAGGGAAGCTTGGCATGCTGCAGTCCATGGGATTGCAAAGGCTATAAGAAGTGATTCAAAGCAGTTAATGTTTTCCTTTCTGCCGGGACCCGCGCTCTACTCAGAAATCTAAGACTGGGGAAAAGGGAAGACCTTGGGGCTAGAAGGCAACAGGCCAGGTCCGAGGGCCAAGAGCGGGCGGGGGCGGGGCCTCGGGCGGGGCGGTGCTCCGGGGGCGGGGCCCGACGGCGGGGCGGGGCCGGGGCCGGGGCCTGGGCGGGGCGAGCGACGGCACAGGGCGGCGATGGCGGCGGACGGGGACTGGCAGGATTTTTATGAGTTCCAGGAGCCGGCCCGGAGCCTCCAGGACCAAGAGAACTGTAACGCGAGCCCCGAGGCCGCAGCAGCGCCGGGCGGGGGTGGCGACGGCTTCCCAGCGCTGGCCTGCCACTTGGAGGAGAAGCTGAGCCTGTGTTTCCGCCCCTCGGGTCCGGGTGCCGAGCCCCCGAGGGCGGCTGTGCGGCCCATCACCGAGCGCAGCCTCCTGCAAGGGGACGAGTGAGTGCGGGCCCAGGCCGGGAGCGGGCGGGAGCCTCCCCTGCCCCTCGTCCAGCCCCTCTCGCCCTGCCCACTGGCCCGGGGTCAGCAGCCTCGGCGGGACTCCGACCGCAGGCTCCTCCCCGCTCTCTCCTTCCGCCTCCAACTCTGGAGTCCCGCCCCTCTCAGTTCTCCCACCTCCTTCCTTGAGGCTTTCGGCCTCTGAGCGCCTGGGAATTTAAATCTCGTGTTCTCCTGCCCCTCTACGAGCCCTTACGCCTCCTCCTGCTTCCTGGAAGCCAACCTCTGTTTGGTTTTGAGAGGAGTCTTCTTGTACTGAGCCTCATAGTTGCAGAGAGTACTTCCTCGGGCACATGTGTAGTCATTCATTCGCTCAACTAGAATTTATTAAGCGCCTGCTACGTGCTGCTTCGCACTGGGAATACCAAGGTGACTGGACATTGCCGCTGTCAAGCAGAGCGCAGCCCAGGGTGGAAGCTAGATTTGTAAACAAACATTTTATGGATGTTACAAACGCACTGATACATGTGCAAAATACAGGAGATTTTGTGCATGTGTGTGTGAAGAAAGACTTCATAGAGAAAACTGGATCCTGATGGATGAGTGGGAGTTTGCCTGGCAGGTGAAGAAAGGTTACTAGTATTCTAGCTCAGGGGTACAGTGCATGCAAAGGTACTGACGTTGAAGCAGCCTGTATGCCACAGGAGATTATTGGCTTCATTTGAGAGCTCAGGTTGAGAGCGAGTGCCCACAGAGGCAAAAAGGAAAAGATCTGGTTATTAATAGGAAGAATCACCTAGTCTAGTAGGGAGATCGGTGCATAAACAGGTAACTACTGCAGGGCAATGGTCAGAAATTCACCGGGATTTATGAGAGCTAGGAGAATGGAGGGTTATTTAACCTCCCAGAACCCCAGTTATAATTTAGTTAAATAAGGGTTGTTATGCACCATAGTTTTCCTCCAAAAGATACTGAAAGGAATGAGAATGAGGGATTTGACAATATTGTAATGTAGGGGGAGAGGAGCTCTGGAGAGCCTGAGGGTAAAATTACAGAGTAAATATTGAGGTTGTGGGTAGGGATGGATTTTCGGAGCATTGATGGGATGGATAGAATAGAAGTTAGGGAAGAATGCTTCAGCTGAAGCTCCAATACTTTGGCCACCTGATGCGAAGAGCCGACTCACTGGAAAAGACCCTGATGCTGGAAAAGATTGAAGGCAGGAGGAAAAGGGATGAGATAGTTGGATGGCATCACAGATTCAGTGGACGTGAGTTTGAGGAAACTCTGGGAGATGGTGAAGGACAGGGAAGCCTGGAGTGCTGCAGACCATGGGCTCACAAAGAGTCAGACTGAGCGATTGAGCAACAACAAAGAATGCTTGAGAAGAAGGCTCCTTGGGCAAAGGAAGGGGCTTGTCATTTGATGGTTTTCTTTCCTCTGTGAATCAGAAGATTTATCAGGAGGAGGGAGCTGGGAATGGAGGCCAGTGGCTTAGCTATCAGTGGTTCAGGGCCAGCTCTGTTTAGAGATCATGTCTTTTCATTGGTCCCTCTGTACAGTGTTCAGCCCCGGCATAGAAGGAAGAGTTTATGATTGGATATTATATACACAGATATGCAAGCTTCCCAGGTGCCTCACAGTGATGAAGAATCCCCTGCCAGTGCAAGAGACACAGGTTTGATCCCTGTGTTGGGAAGATCCCCTGGAGTAGGAAATGGCAACCCATTCCAGTATTCTTGCCTGAAGAATCCCATGGACAGAGGAGCCTGGTAGGCTACTCTCCATAGGATCACAAAGAGTTGGACACGACTGAGCCTGCAGTCAGTGGCAAAAGACATTTTAAGCAGTCTATTCCCCAAAAGAAGATAGTGTTATGCATAGATTTATATACTCAGAATCACTAGACTCAGGACGTACTCTGGATTTTAAAATCAATACAATTTATTATATATTTGGGTTTATCAAGAGTAGCTTATCAAAATGAATTAGTGGTTTGTACACAGATAAGATTCCCTATTTTTCATTCACGTGTCCTGTCTGAAAAGGAGTGTGTTTTAGCCTTTGCTTAATTAAACCTTAGGTTGATACAAAACTTTTGTTACTCTTGATAATGACTTCTCGTAGATATTACATGGGTGGTACTGCATGTTGCTTGATTTGGGAATGCGTAAGAAATCAATCTTTTCTAAGCAGGAGTTGCCTACCACTCTCATGGTCTCTGTTCTGTTGCATAGACATGCTCTCCATTGCTTGATAGAGTTTAAATTCCTGTTCCTTTCACTAGAGAGAGTTGAGAATTCTTTCACTCAGATAGGGCCCTGCCTTAGGGCACTTTATTCTTTTCTGAGTCCCAGTTTTAGTTTTGGTTACATACAGATTGTGCTTATTGGCTGAAGTTTTACTTTAGAAGGGTCTAGTGAGGGACTGAATGTCAGTGAGACTTTGACCTCCTTTGGAAAAGAGCCGCCCTGCTAGTTGTTTATGACTGGCTGTAATGCTTTATGATAAGGATGAAGGCAGTTTCTGTCTTGATTGGAGTATTCTAGAAATCTTTCAGTTAATCCGGCCTTGTGTCCTTTCAACCACAAATGTTCTGGCCTTGGTGAAGATAGAGGACTGTGACTTGTCCTTCATTTTCTTGGGAGATCAAATTCACCCACACTCAATGATTCTACATGAAATCTTCTGCCCCACTTGTCCTTTTATTATGGCCTCAATTAAGAAGGAAAAAACAGCAGACAAAACAAACCTCAAAAACTCTGGACCGTCTTCACCTACTAGAATATCCTCGTGGTTCCTGACCAGGGTTAGGTGTGTGGTCAGTCATTTAGTATTTGAAAATTTTCTACCCAGAACGAGGTGGGCCAGCAAGTTTAGCAACCCACAGTGTTTCCAATTTGAGCATATTGGCATTAGAGGAAATGAGGATTCCAGCAGAGAGGAGGATAGGAATGAACCATGCTTATGAGGGATTTGCTGGGTAAATGAGCCAGTTTTCTTGAGATTTTTGTGTTCACATATTCATGGAGGCTAATATGCATTCAACAGCCAAATGTCATTTGGGGATTTTCTGTTTTTGGCAGTTGTGGTCCCATTGCTTCTCTTTAGCACCAAATTCCAGTTCATTAAATCAGTATGTTGTTTCTCTGTTTTGAAGCTTGCATTCTTATTTTTATAATCCCAGTGGTCTTATTTTTGTATCCTAGAATCTTACACACTTAGAAAAAAACCCACCCAATTTTTAAGTGGCTTATTCACAATTAGATACTTGTTAAAAATGTTACCTTTTTTTTTATGACTTGTATGTGTGTATCTCTGACCATTAAATAGCTTATTTGTGTAATGTTTAACTTTACTTACACTAATTAAATTTAATTTCATTTCTATTTCTGAACTCTTTTTTTTCATATAATGCCTTTTAAAATAATGCTGGTTATTACTTTGGGACTGAAACTGAACTTTGGTCATGAAATTGGTTTGCAGTCCTTATTTTGGTGTGGTTTGGAACTTTGATCAATATAACTCATTTGAATGAATGCTTCGAGTAATAGCGCTGGAAGAAACGTCAGCCATCCTAATCCAAGCTTCTTGTTTTAAAAAGAGCAGCTAATACCTGCAGAAGTTAAAGTACATGGTCAGAGACTGATTGAGGATGAATGGAGATAAGAGTCTATTTTCTGAATTTAGTCAAGTGCTCTTTCCATTTTACTCTGTTGCCTCCCCAAAATTCTGTTTGTTAATAAGTAAGAGTAATTGCATTGGGTATAATCTGTGTATTTTATTGTGAACTCCCTTTCTTTCCCTTTTCAGCTTATCTTAGTCTTACACTATAAATTAGATATTAAGCCCTAGTCTCATTTTGAGGCTGAATTCCTTCTCCTGGAAATTCTTTCTCATTGGTTAAAGAGAGATTATTCACTCTGTGGAATAGTCTATATGTTTGGAAGTTACGAATGAAAAATAATTATAAAACACAGTGTATTTACTACCTGTTTTGGCTTGGGAAGCACGACTTAACTTTCCTGTGCTTTCATTTCCTAATCTGTAAAATGGGGATAATAATGGTTCTTCATGGTACTCCTTTTGAGGATTGAATGAGCTAATGTAAGTAAATTGCTTAGAATGTGTGTAAACGGTTTAGGTAATACCTGTCACAGCAGACAGTGAAAATGTTAGCCGTTGACTTTGTGAGTTTTCTGTTCCATGTTGTCTTCCCTCAGGACTTGTCAGCCCGATGGTTGGGTTTTCCTTTAGTCTTATTCAGGAGGCTCTGGTTTGTTGATGCTTTTCTGAGAAACAGTAGGCCTCCTGGTTTTTTTTGTTTTTTTTTGCTGTGATATTTTTTGTTCTCTCTTTCACTGTAGTACTAGATACCTGTTTAATAATGATAGACAGAATGTTAACTTTCATTGATTGTAGTTTTTTTTTTTTTTTTAAGGATTTGGAATGCCCTGACAGATAATTACGGAAATGTAATGCCTGTAGACTGGAAGTCATCCCATACTAGGACCTTGCATTTGCTTACTCTGAATCTCTCAGAAAAAGGGGTAAGTTAGGATTTGCACCAATAGTTTCTGAATAACTGATTCTGATAATGGAACTAAAAAGTAGTGTTTCTATCTAACTGCAATTCATTGAGTTGCTTCTTATTTCCAAGCTTATGGCAAGTGAAGTGGTCTTCTTTTGCCATCTTGGTTTTTGCTACTGTCCACTTGCTAACTTTTCCCTCCAGTTCTTCCTTAGCACACACTCAGCTTTTTTATGTTTAGCTAAATTTTCATCACCTGTGTATGAACAGCAATGATCAGCATTTTTTTTCCCTAGCTTAAATAACATAGCTTTGATACGTTGTGAATACTCAGTAAGAACCTTACGCTTTGATTTAATATATGGAGGATCCTAGAGTATCTACAGAGAGTTAACTTTCTGATGAATTTAATGCTGGATGTAGCATGTTTGAATACTGGAGAATCTTTAGAAGACATTTCAAGTCTTGGTGTTTTGATGTGTTCTTGGCTAACTGTTGGAGGCTGCCATGTATGTCTTGGAATTGTAAAGTGAAGACACCTTGAGTAAGGAGTGTGAGCACAGCTGGAAGGACAGCAAAGGAGACAGAAAAGGGAAGAGAACTGCTTTAAGTGGAAAATCACAGTGTGGTTTAACGCTGATGAGAAAGGAGGCCAAATGGAAGTTTCAGGGCCGGACTATTTAAATTCTTCATCAAATAGCATTGTGAACTCATGCCAGGTCTTTTGGCATGCTCCTTATTTCATTAAGTGTATTTGTGTAATTTCTGGGAGTATAATGCACTAGGACTGTATTTTAAATAGTGTTGTTAATGTTTTCTGAAACAATTTTCTTAAAAGTGTGATTGAGAAAAGCTTGCTGCCTACTATTTCTAGTAAAATATAGGATTCTGACTATATTTCTTTGTATTCTAGTACATACAGGATTTATTTGTTCCAGTTATTAATCTCCTTAAGCTGTTTTGCAGGCTGACCTGACACATTTAGGGGCAGGAATAAAGCAAAATATCTTATCCTCTGTCTTCTGTTTATTTGGATCTTAGCTATCATTCTGGGCTTAGTTCAAGTTTCCCTTCCTCTCTGAAGCTGCCTATTACTGTTTTAGCCTTTGCTGATCTCATGGAATTATATAATTTTAGAGTTGGAAGGGACTTTAAAGGACACTTAATCCAATCTCTCACTTGGGGGGATTCCCCATTTACAGTGTCTCTGACAGATGGTCATGCAGCCACAGACTAAATCCCAGCAAGGAAGGAAAATGCACTCCTCTCTGTGGGAATCGTCACACTTGTCGGGGTGTGAAAATCGTAAAGGACTTACATGTCCTGCAGAGCTTGACCCCCAAGTCTCCTGGGTGCTGGTTCTCACAGCACTTGATCTGTGTCTTAAATCATCATTGGTGTCTCTTAATAATTATGTTTGTGGATCTGTCATTAGATTGTAACTTCCTGGTAGATATCTTTGTATGTGTCTTCTCAGTAACTATCACGGTGCCTGGCACATAGTGAGAACTAAGACAAGTGTTTGTTGAGTGAACAAATGAATCATCTCATCAGTAAGACTATAGGGTCAGAGACCATGGTGGAAAGTTTTTAAAACTGTTTTTTATGTTACTTAACATAGTGCTGTATCCACAATAGCTAGCCAGTGAGTACTTTTTTGTTTGACATGATAAAAAATGGTAGAGGAGATCTTTTCGTAGTTTCAAAGAGAAGTACCTTATTCACATGAACAGGACATCTAATCCAGTTCTACTGAATATTGTTCTTTGGTTACCTCTTGGGATGTCACTCCCTTTATCTGCCTTTTGACTGTTTTCAATGCCAGAGCAATGGCATAACCAAAGATAGTGATTAGTAGTGACCTGGAGTTTAGTACTCATGCTCATTGTAAAAGCTCACCTGGAGAACCCAGTAGGGTAAAATGGACAAATGATCATCTCACATCTGAGTATCTTTTTTTTTTAATTAATTTTATTTGTTTTTGTCTGCACTGGGTCTTTGTTGCTGACAGCGGGCTTTCTCTAGTTGCGGCAAGTGGGGACTGTTTTCTAGTTGCAGCTCGAACACTTCTTGTGGCTTTTCTTGTTGCGGAACACAGGCCCTAGGGCCCTTGGGCTTATTTGCCCCATGGCATGTCGCATCTTCCCAGACCAAGGATTGAACCTGTGTCTTCTGCGTTGGCAATCAGATTCTTAACCATTGGACCACCAGGGAAGTCTTAACATCTGTCTATCTTCACATGATTACGCAGGTGATGAGTATAACTAAGATGAGATGTCTAGTTCTTGGGAATGAGTAGCACATGTTAATTTCCTGAAGAATAAATGCACAGCAAGGAACTATGCAGGAAGCAACAGTGTTATTCTATTAGGTAGTGTATAATTAATTTTTTTAACCTGGGAAGTTGCCAAGTGTGTGCCCTATTATTTCCATAACTGAATTATGCAAAATTTATCTTTTGAAACCATTCTTTAGATTATTTCAACTGTAAAACAGGGTTTGTATGAAATTTTTTTTGACAGAGGGGGAAGAGATTTATTTTGCATTAGGATGAGACAAACAGGAAACTGCAGCTCCCTAGATTTCAGTTTTTAATTTTTTTTTTAAATTGATCAAGATGGGACACTTCTAAATGTGATAGGTCTTTTCTAGAGGAAGGCAACTGGTACGTTCCAAATTCTTACAGGGGCACATTTTTTCCATTTGAGGCAGCTTCTGTTTCGTACAGGAAAACAGAAGCATGGCTCTGTATCTAAACCTGGCACAGGAAGGAGTGATGGGAATGCTTGGCAAAGACAAGGCACATTGATGCCTAATGGGAGCGTGAAGAATGATACCCATGACAGCCAAGGTTAGTTTTCAAAGCCCGAAAGGGATTCCAGCCCTTAGCATATGCCATCTCTGTGGGGAATGGGCTTGGCTCCCTCTCTGGAAAGATGTTCTGGGATTATTATTTCTGTTGTCATGGAAATTTATTCTAATGGCTTATTGGTATCACTCATGTGTTTTGGCAGTAGCTGCAAACCTGTTCTAAATCCAGTACCATTCTTGATCATGCTTAATGATAGGATGCTTCTGAATTGTTTTGCCTTAGGAACATCTCCTGAGCCATATTCTTCTTCCTACCATGCATGTTTCTTTAGAAACTGGGACTTTGTTGAATGCATCTTTGTATATTCAAGAGTAGAAATAGAAGATAATAAATGTGTTCCTTAGGAGTAATTTTCTTTCACTTGTCTATTAAGGGGAAAAAAATAAGACAGAACTGTGGTCCTCAAGTTACAGCACAGAACTGTAATTTGAGGGGAGGAGAGTGCTGAAGTTTTAGGGTCAGTGAGTGTAATTCTTAGGGTTACTCTACGTCATCATCCATCCTTATGTGGCCCGTTTCATCTCTGCTTCTACAGTCTTGAAATTAAACATCCTCTCTCATCAAGAGCCAGATCTCTCGACCTTTCTCCTTTCTTATTAACAGGATAACTTAGTTTAAAAAAGTAAACTAAAGCTACAGAACTTAACATGAAAAAGCAGTCTCTCCCCTACTTACCTTATCATCCTTGATTTCCACTTACCTGTAGCAGCCACTTTCAGCTACTTCAACTGTTTCTTCTAGCAGATAACATTCTCCTGTCATTTTACTTAATTTTATTCTTCAACTTTAGACTTTATCCATTGACTTTCAACCCAGAGGATGAGGGTTTAGCAGTCTGAGTCATCCCTCTCTCCAACCATAACCCTCACAAAAACTTTGGTTTTCCCTCATCGTCCCAGTATAATTATGTCAGAATATTTCGTTGCATCTTCACTTGTATTGACTGTTTAAATGTTCACATTTAAACATTTAAGTATGTTTTATGATGGCGTTTCCTCTTGTAATATTTTTCCTTTGGGTCATAATAATTGCCTTTTTGTGGTTAATTTAGGTTATCATCAGCTCACTAATTCAACCTCAGTAGAGCCATAAAGCTCACTTTAGTAAATGAAACACACTGGGCAACCTGTCAGTCTCTCTCTTCTTTCTCCTGTGTTTTTCTTGATTCCTTCTGCAGTAACAATTCTATCGGAACCGGTTACTGTCTGGTTTAGTTCTGTAGCCATCATTCTGTTGTTACAAGGATCCCTTCCACCTCTTTCTTGGGTTAGATCCAGTGTCTGCTTCCTTTTTGGTTTTCCTCCTGGTTTTAATGGAGCATGTTCTGGAGTATCTTTCTGGGAAAGGTTACATGAGAGGTAAATTCTTTGAGAACGTCCCAGCCTGATGGTTCAGTGAGAAATCTGACGAGGAGGTGTGTCCTCACTGTGGTGCAGCGCGGCCTCACTGTGTGTGGTGGTAGATAGGGCGGGAGGGCTGCGGTGGCTCCTCCCCCGGCCTGATGTTGTGAGAGGCCGCGCACTGGGGTTTTTCCCTGGGATTTCTCACCTCCAAGGTAGTAGGGACCTATATCCATCCAATTGTGTCTTCAATTTTATATATATATAGTGTATATATACACACATATATACAATTATATATATGCATATGTATATACTTATGTGTATATATATATAAATGATTTTCCCAAGTAAAATACTATCTTTTTAAATTATATACTATCTGTTAGAAATACATGATCATGGACTTCCCTGGTTGTCCAGTGGTTAAGAATCTGCCTGCCAATGCAATGGCCACAGGTTTGATCCCTGGTCTGGGAAGATTCCACATGCTGTGGACCAGCTGAGCCCATTCTCTGCAACTCTGGTAGCCCTCTCTCTAGAGCTTGTGCTCCGTAACAAGAGAAGCCACGGCCTTGAGAAGCCCACACACCACAACTCGAGAGCAGTCCCTGCTCGCTGCAACTAGAGAGAGCCTGTGTGCAGCCATGAAGACCCATGGTAGCCAAAAGTAAATAATAATAAAAAATACACGGTTGCTTCTTAACGTAATTCCTTGCCCATCTCTTCTCTGGGAACTCAGTTTCCACTCTGTCTGACGAATAGAGTTCTAATTTCAGTTTTATTCATCGTCTGGATGGTCATGTCATGATGGATAGAGGATAGCTAGATGATCGCTTGTCCATTTTAAGCTGCTGGGTTTTCCGTGTTAGGCCTTTGCAGTTAGTAAACTCGAGGCCATTATTATAGGAACTGTTGATATTGGCACGGGCAGGTTAGAGGACACCGTATGAGCTAGACATGGTGAGATACCCTGGGGGTGCCAACAGCAAGCAGCCCTTTAGCATGAGCCTTAGGCACGAAGAGAGGTCAGGAGGGGAACAAGCTACCAGGACCTGTGGAGAGAAGCCATGCAGGCGAGGCCGGCTCGCCAGGTGCTGCAGCCTTTGGAGTCTGGCGGGGACAGACAGCAGGATACATGCCCAGACTTCTCCCCCAGCCCTGCCCCAGCTTCTAGCTCCTGCTAGTATCTGCTAGTGTGTTAGGCCACTAGGAAATCGGAAGTCAAGGTTATCCTTTGCTGTGGTCCATAAAGGTCAGTGTTCTACTGGAAGGGCTAAGTATGACCCTTGTAGACGGCTCCCTTCTGCCAAGAATTTGATTGCTTGTCTTTCACTGTATTAGATGTTAGTCTGCAAGTAACAGACTTTGTTTTCTGTGGAATTTTGACATGTACCAATCTTCCTATTAGATCATTAATTAAATAACATTTGCTACTAACCCTGTCTGTCCCCCCACCCCCGTTTGCTGTAATTCTCTACAAATTGCTGTAGAATACCAGATATTTTCATACTTCCTGGACCCTCCTCCCCATGAAATAAACAACAAGGTATATGTCTGTTTGGGCAAAAGGGAATGTATGCAGCCCCCTAGCAGTTTCACGTTTGTTCTGGATTCCTCTCCTTTCTGTCTGAGGTGGCCATGCAATGTACCTCACATACTGCCTGGTACATAGTAACTGGAACGAGGTCTGCCTTTTGAACCTCTCAGCAGATGCTTCCCTGGGCAGCCCTCTGGACCCAGACACTTTGACTTTGTTGTGATCAGAAGTCCCTGCTTTTAACAGTGGGTTGTTTTTGTCTTTAGATGAGTGACAGCTTGCTCTTTGATACCTCAGATGATGAGGAGCTGAGAGAACAGCTGGATATGCATTCAATCATCGTCTCCTGCGTCAACGACGAGCCCCTCTTCACTGCAGACCAGGTACAAAGGAGAGTCCCCTCCATCAAGGAAAGGGAACCTCGGCTGCAAAACCATTAGTGTGGCCATTAAGTGACAGGTTGTTGGAACTGACTTATTTTCCCTGTGTTTTCTGGTAATGTAGGCTTAACAGCTTCTGAGGAAAGAAGAAAGTATATGTAATCTGAAGCGGATGGATTATGTTAGTTGGGAACATCTTTCAATATATGCAGTTTTCCAAGATAGGCTTTGTTAAAACAGTATAGCAGGGTACTTTAAAAGAAGGCTGTTGCTTCCACTGGAATCAGAAAAAATACTATAATTTTTCCTCTTTCGTTAGATTTGAGCAGACATGGGAAAACTACATCTGTGCAGAAATTACCTAGTTTCTCTAAAACCTATGGAGAAGTCATTAGCACTTACTAGAAGTCCTTATTGTATACCCAGGAAAGAAGTGAGCATTATTCCTGTGGAATGCTCTAATAATGTCAACCCTGTATTCATTTAAACCCTGTTGAATCAGCTTTCTCATTTTCTGAATACTCCTCCCACTTTGCTGTATTGTCAAACTGTGGTGCAAGAACTTCTTCCTGAAATCATGTTCCACGGCTACTGAAACTGTGAGTTCTGTATTTTTAGGTTGGAAAGATGAGGTCAGTAAAGAGATGTATGATGACAAGATTGGGAGGGGTACATTAAAAATGTGTCATCTTGACGCTCCTTCATCATATTTGTGGTTGGATCATCCTAGGCTTGAAGGGAGTGTGGTGCTTAAAAAGCAGGATGGTAAGTTAGATGACTGAGTGCAGGAAGACCCTGATACTCTGGGGAGAGGTGTGACCCTGAGAGTTCATCGCCTGCTCGGTTCTGTGCCTGAAAACCAAGCTGTCCCTGCTTTTACTGACAGAAACAGATTCTTTGGCTCTTTCAGTGTCTTGTTTTTGTGTTTATTATTTTGTGTGTTGATTTTTTTTGTTTTGTTTTTGTGTTTAGAAATGCCTGTTTTGGAAACTCTTCTTACTAAATTAGTGTAATCCCCACTACTTCAGGTTTGCTTCTGTTTTTCCTTGGTGCTGAAAGAGTTAAACTTGCTTCCTATTGTATTTTTTCCCTAATAGTTTTTTTTAAAAACTCTTAAGTCTATTTTTTTTAAATTTATTTTTATTGAAGTCTAGTTGATTTACAGTATTGTGCTAGTTTCAGATATACAGCAGAGTGATTTGTTTATACATAATGTATGTATATATCTTCATTATTTAGATTTGTTATAACTTATTATAGTGTATATATTATAACATATAATAAATATATTGAATATAGTTCCCCGTGCTATACAGTGAATCTTTATCTTATTTATATATATGATAGTGTGCATCTGTTATTTCCATACTATTAATTTATCCTACCTCCCCTTCCTCTTGGTAACCATGTTTGTTTTTTGTTTTTTTTTAATGGCAAACTTTTTTTTTTTTAGCTACGTGGCATGTAGGATCTTAGCTCCTTCACCAGGGATTGAACCCTTGCCCCTTGCAGTGGAAGCATGGAGTCCTAACCACTAGGCCATCAGAGAAGTCCCTAAATATCCCTTTATCTTCCCTTGAATTAAATATATGAAATTCTTTTTCTGTTGTTAAAGGAAAACTTTCCTGCCAAAGCCAGAGTTTCTTGCTTTATGTGTAAAGGTTTTTTACACTGTTGCATTTCATACATTTTATGTCAGTTTTATTAAATAGCTTTAGATTGAGTAGTTGGATGTGGCATATGGTAAATTCTCTGTCACTGGCTTTCTTTTAACTATAACTGTGATCCAGTTCTGGCATGTCTCAAGTAGATTATGCGTGTGTGTGTGTTTGATATTTCCTTATCCGTGGCTGCTGTGGGTCTTCGTTGCTGTGCTGACCTTCCTTAGCTGTGGCGAGTGGGGGTTACTCCCAGGCTGTGGCACTTGGGCTGCCCCTTGTGCTGACTTCTCTTGCTGAGGATCACGGACTCTGGAGTTCAGGCTCAGAAGTGGTGGTGTATGGGCTCTGTGGCCCCTCATCATGTGGGATCTTCCCAGACCAGGGATTGAACACATGTCCTTTGCATTGGCAGGTGGATTCTTAACCACAGAACCACCAGGGAAGTCCTATGCACGTATTTTTAGCAGCACCGCTCAAGAGATTACAAGATCTGATAGGGCCAACTCATGTGTGCTCAGTGTCTTCAGTCATGTGCCGTTTACTTTTGTGTTTAGTATACTGTAATTTTTTTTTTGATAAACCTCGTGTACTCTTAGAAACTTTTGATTATTCAAAACACCGACTCCTGCGCACTGCTGGTTAATATAGAATTGAGGGGCTTCTATTCTGGTTGCTGCAGACGAGCGTTGTGTTACAGATGGACCGTTTTACCTGTGTGTATTTGACTAACAATGGTTTGTATATTTTGGAAGGTGATTGAAGAAATTGAAGAAATGATGCAGGAATCACCAGATCCAGAAGATGATGAAACGCCTACCCCGTCAGATCGGCTTTCAGTGCTTTCCCAGGAAATCCAAACTCTTAAGAGGTCTAGCACAAACAGTTATGCAGAGAGTAAGAACCCTCACCTGAGTTAGTGCTGCCTGTGCCTCCGCGTACCTCGGCCGTATGGCGCGACCACCTTCGGGAACCTCTGGTTCTCACAGGCTGGGTTGCATGCTCTTCCCCTCCTTACTCCCCCCGTGGTACTCAGGGCATTTGTTTATCTTTGCTTAGGGACTGCGTCATGTTTACCTTTGAATCCTGTATTTGTCTGCTTGGGCTGCTGTAGCAAAATACTGTGGGCCGGTGGCTTAAACCACAGAAATTTGCTTCTTGCTAGTTCTGGAGGCTAGAGGTCTGAGACTGAGGTGTTAGCAGGTCTGATTTCTTCTGAGGCCTTTTGCTCTGTCCTCACGGGGACTTTCCTGTGGTGTATCTGTGTCCTCATCTCATTTTTAAGGGCATCAGTCACATTGGATTAGGGCCCACCCTAATGGTTTAATTTTAACTTCATTATCTCTTTAAAGATGCTATCTCCAAGTATAGTCATATTCTGAGGTGCTGGGGTTAGGGCTTCAACAATGTCCTATTTCTCTAGTATTTCCTTAGAATAAAGGGAAGTGCTGAGAAAAACCTGAAAAGGGTCTTCAGGGAATCGTCTGCTCTTCATCTTCCCAATTCTCAGTAAAATTCACACACTGGGGCATGTGTGTTTAAGTATGTATTTAGCTTAATTCTTCCAAATAGACTTTTCCTCTCTCCAGAAGTGCCCCAGAACCCTGCTCAGTGGTCTGTGATTTCTTCTCAGTACAGTGATTCCCGTACTCTCTCTCTGCTTTCTGTTCTTTTCCTTGCACAAGCTTGTTAAGTCTTGACTGAAGTACTGTTGATGGAACTGTTGATTTTAGACGAGTAAAAGATTTTGTTACACTTCTCTTCTCAGCCATTTGAGAAGTAACTTCCCCCACCTACCTCTACTCAGACCTGCCCACCAGGAGCCTAAGGAGTCTGAGACAATTACAAACAGTTTAATTGCTCAGAATATGATGTTTTTCCTCTTTGGCGAGAAACACTTTGCTGTGCTGCCTTGAAACATTTTGGTCTCAGTGTCCGCTCTGCTTTGCTTTTCGGTCACAGGGGTGAAAAGGCTGTCGGTGTCTGAATTAAATGAGCTGCTGGAAGAAATCGAGACGGCCATCAAGGAGTACTCCGAAGAGCTGGTGCAGCAGCTGGCCCTGCGAGACGAACTGGAGTTTGAGAAAGAAGTGAAGAACAGCTTTATTTCTGTTCTCATCGAAGTGCAAAACAAACAGAAAGAGCACAAAGAAACAGCCAAAAAGAAAAAGAAACTCAAGAACGGCAGCTCTCAGAACGGGAAGAGCGAGAGAAGCCACATGCCCGGCACAGTAAGTGGTGGTGTGTGGGTGGCGCGACACGCTGGGCGCGGCCTCCGTGAGGCCAGCTGAGGCGGGCAGGACCCACGTGTGCAGGAGCAGGGCGTGGGGGTCTTCACCGGAGAGCAGAAGGGTCGTATTCAAGACTACCGGTGTACGCTGCTCCTTCCGAAAGGTGCTTTCCTGTGGCGAGGGTATGATGGTTCTCTGGATAACTCAGTGCTGAAATGTGTAGGAGGAGGGAGGTAAAGAGAGGGAAGAGGGGGGAATCAAAGAGAATGTTTGAAGGAAAAGCTTTAGCAGGTGCCCGTTTCAATACATGAGAGTGTTAATAGGGGTTTTTATATTTGGCTGGTGGGCAACTGAATGATAGTGCTTTCTTGTTTTTGCTTAGCCCTTGTGAGTTATATAGTAAGAAATGGGGTGCTTTTAGAGGTAGTTGAACTATATGGAGCCTAAAAGCAGAGGTTGACATTTAAATCATTTTCTCCTGATTTATGAGTGAAGTTGGAATGAGAGGATGTTGCAGGCAGTTTCATGACATCACCCATTTGGCCTAGTATTTGGCAGACCAGACTATTACTGACTGGTGAAAACAACTTGAGGATATTTGAATCTTTGACTTTTGGTACAAAGCTTTTTGTTTTCTGCTTTTCATTTTCCATAAGTGGTGCTTTTAATTTCACTTGGTGAAACTTCATTGTAAATGTTAACTATTAAGTATTTGAGATACATTTCCTGTTGGTCTTATGAGCATTTCATTTTTCTTTGATAAGTTGAGACCTTGTATCTTGCCACCTTTATGTTTGCATGTGAAGAAGTGTTGGTTTTATTTTAAACTTGAATGGTTGGACAAAGGGATTCATTTTTTAAATGGATTGTACCTTTTAAATTCACGATAGTGATAACATGATAATGCAAATTATATCAAACTGGCTGTTACGGCTTGCAGTTATAAAAATTATGTCTTTGACTAAGTCTGATTTATTCTTTCTAAAGAATGCTTATCAGAGAAATAGATCTCATTGATCAGACTCTGATAGAATCCAGGAAAGAGCATGGCAGTTCTGGGATGTGGAACCACCAATGAGAGTTAATACAAACCAAAAAGAATCTTACTATTTAGCCCATTCAGTATACTGTCTTTGGCCTGTGAGTATATGCACATTTTCTTAGTTTAATGTTATTTGTACACAGAAAAGACATAGTTGATAAACAGATTTTGCAAAAGTTGCGAGATATGTGGAACAAAATATTTGTTAGAAATGGTGATATTGTTTAAAGTGTTTAGTGACTTCTAGAGACAACTCTGAAGAAAACAGCACCCACCAAACAAAAAATCCCCACCAAAACATTCCCCAAACTAGAACATTTGTTTGAGTATACAGTCCTGGATAAAGTTTGCTTTAAAATATTAGGAACAGTATTTTGTGTCTCAAATTTTAAAAAAAATTGTACCCTTTAAATTGTCCTTTTATGCAGGTGTGATTAAATAAAATGTTTAGTTAAAAAGTCATAGCGTGGTTGGTAATTTCTGCTTATCTACTTTTAGGGATTACATGTAATTCCTCCACTTATTTGTTTTAACATTTAGGTGAGGAAAATAAATGTATCCCTAGAGTAGTTTAAATGCTTCTTTTTCTAACTCCCATTTAAAAAGGGTTTGAGTGGATTCATTGTGTGATTTTACATGGTATTTATGTTGAGAAATGGATTTGACAAGGCAACGTTTAGGTCTTATTTGAACCTTTATTAGCCTTGAAATAGATTCATAGGAACAGTAATTTGCTGCCCCCCCCCCCCCCCCCAATATTTGGACATGTGAAGTTACTTCTTGAGTCCTGATCTGCTATTTGTGTCAAAACCTTTAACTAGGCTAATAATGGCATCACTAAGCTTGTGGTACTAGTCATCATTATGAAGCTTAAAAGGATGGCAAAAAGCCATTCCACTTGTGACCCAAGGAGCCTGAAATCTATCAAGGATTCTGAAAATAGTGGTCAGCGGCCCAAAGGAACTTTAAAGTGAAATGGCCAGTGGCGAAACAGATTCCAGGATACTGCCTTTCTAGCCCTTTTATATAACATGCAGTTTTGGCAAGGCCTGATCTCTATGGATTGGCTATCACATTTGGTGGTTTAGTTGCTCATTCGTGTCCAGCTCTTTTGTGACCCCATGGACTGTAGCCCGCTGGGCTCCTCTGTCCATGGGATTTCCCTAGCAAGTATATTTCCCTGGAGTGGATTGTCATTTCCTTCTCTAGGGGGATCTTCCTGATCCAGGGAATCGAGCCTGCGTCTCTTGCATTGCAGGCAGTCTCCTGCAATGTAGATGGATTCTTTACCAACTGACTCACCAAGGATTGGTGACCCTTTTATAGATATCATGCATTACTTGTTTTCTAATAACATTGGTCACTTTTTTTCTTTTTACCTTAGATATGTTTTATATCTATCAAAGACTTGGACTTCTTCATTAAATGTGGAATAGTTTCCTGCCATTTTCCCTTAAGCACATTTCATTGAAACAGAGCATCAATTTGTAGTACTTTATCCATAATTTCCAACTTGTTCCTTTTGGTACAGAGAGACTGTAGTAAAATATGAGTGTGAATAGAGCAGAGTTTAGGTTTTCATTTTGGATGCATGCTTTGTTTGAAACATTTGCTACAGTGAAAAAAAAATTAGTGGGCTTAGAGATGCTATCCGTAAATATTAAGTAAATTTCTGAGTATCTTCAGAAAGTGAAATGTTGATTTAGTTTTTAAAGTTAATCTGTTACATGTTGAATAAGATAAAACCATTCAGTAAACATTTGCAGAGTATCTTTCTTGTGCCAGGTACTGTTGAAGATACAGTGGTGAATGAGACAGGTAAGGCCTCTGGCCTCTTGGAGCTTATATTTTAACAAGGGAGACAGGCACTACACACAGAAAAGCATGACTAGACCTTGTAACTTCAGGTAGTAACAGATTCCATCAAGAAGAGGAAAAGCTTGGTTGAGGCAGTTGCTAGCAGTGCTGTGGGGAGCTGTTTCCGATGTGGTAGTGACCATGTCTCTTGCTTCTTCTGGTGGACTGGGCAGGCTGTCCTGTCCCTCTTCAGCTCCCTCTTCAGAGGAGATGTTGGAAGAGTACATCTTCTTGGCTAATGAGACTTGATAGAGTCAGTTCAGTTCAGTCGCTCAGTTGTGTCCGACTCTTTGCAACCCTATCGACTGCAGCACACCAGCCTTCCCTGTCCGTCACCAACTCCTGAAGCTTGCTCAAACTCATGTCCATTGAGTTGGTGATGCCATCCAACCATCTCATTCTCTGTTGTCCCCCTTCTCCTCTTGCCTTCAATCCTTCCCAGCATCAGGGTCTTTTCCAGTGAGTCAGTTCTGTGCATCAGGTGGCCAAAGTATTGGAGCTTCAGCTTCAGCATCAGTCCTTCCAATGAATATTCAGGGTTGATTTCCTTTAGGATGGACTGGTTGGATCTCCTTGCAGTCCAAGGGACTCTCAAGAGTCTTCACCAACACCTCAGTTCAAAAGCATCAATTCTAGAGCATCATTTAATAGAGTCAGAGATTTTATTTCCTTTATCCTATTCAACATCTGGAAAAGCAGGAGGGGGGAGTAGAGATTGGAATGGTTGAAGGGCACTGTTAATGGGTTTGGTGGCCCACGTGCATTTCTTTGAACTGACTGTGTTGTGTTGGGCTGTGGCGTGACCATTTATGCCACTGCCTTTTTCTGCCTTCCTTCCTTTACTGCTTCCACTGTCCTCTTGGGAGATTTCTTTTCCTCTCTCTCTTTTTTTTTTCTAAATCATTATTCAAAATCATAGTCAGGCATTGTCTTCCTTTCTTAGACCTTTTCTTGACGACTCTTCCTCCAATACAAAATTGACAGTCCTCTCCTTCTGGGGTTAGTAGTATTCCTCTTAGCTGTTGCTGTTAGTAATGGGATGCCATATTGTAATTTTTTGTTTTCATGTCTGTCTCTTTTGTGGTTCCCTGTGGATAGAAAATGTAACTTTATCTAATATATTCCTAGGTCCCACATTAGGTCCTCAATAAATTTCTGATGAATAAATAGTAAAAAAAAAAAAAAATTTTTTTTGTTGCAAATCTGTATTTCTGCCTTGGATCTTTCTTCCAGGTACCAAACATTGAGGCTGAATAGCATATTTGTTAAGAACTTTGGGTTAAGAGCTCTGTTTGAATCCTGATCCTGCCCCTGGGTACATACCCCTTTGAATTTTGGAAGGATTAGGTGAAATTATGATGTGTGTAAGAGTAGCATATATCCTGAGTAAATGGTAGTTGTTATATGTCCAACTGTTTACTAGACATTTCTCCCTGAATATCTTGTGGGCATCAGGAATTTATCTTATCAGACTGAACTCACTGTTTTTCCTAAAGGTGAACTTATTCCTTATACATTTCTTTTGACTATAGCGAAACTATAGTCTCCCCATTCACCAAAACCAGTGCAGTTTTTAGGTCAAAAATACACAGTTTTAAGCAACCATCTTTTCAAATTGTCCTACATAAGTGTTACCCAGTAACAGCATAAGTTGAGTGGCCATTTCCCCAAACCCCCAACGTATGATGGTTATTATTAGCCTTCTCATATATACTGATCCAATAGGCAAATAATGGTTTGATTTATTGACTGTTTGTATTCTCTTGTAAGTTGCCTATTGTGTCACATTTGAGTTGAGGGTACACATACTTCTGCTGTCCTAGTACCATACTCTCTGGTAATCAGTTGCTTAAGTCTTTCCTTAGGAAGGAGTGCCGTCTTTGCAAAGACTCACTCACATTGTTTCCCTAGCCCTGCACCTAATTTGTCACTTAATACATATTTGTTAAGCTGAAACTTCACAATAAAGAGGATGGAATCTCAGGATTTGGATTTGTGCTTTGAATTATTGTTCTGTCAGGGATTTTTGGGATGCCAGTCTTCTGCTTATATCAAGTAGATTCACAGGTCATTGAATTTCAGTGGCTGTTTACAGGAGTAC